TAAAACACCTCTTAATAATGAGTCAAAATCAACAAGAAGACATAACATTTTTTCTCAAGCACTTGGTGTACTTAAACATCCCTAAGTACATTTTATTTGTTAATTTGTATGAAGCCTACTTGCATGACACTGATAAGGCAACTGAGTTTTTATTCATATCTCCATACGAGTTGGATGAGAAGCTCAATCCCACCCTACATCAACATATAGTTGAAATGTTAAAGTGTCATATAAGGAAAGATCCCTTAGTTTTAACATCTTATAATGTTGGGTGAGTTGTTCCTATTGCCATGCATATTTTACTCCTATTTTTGCTATCATTTTTTCTTCTTGTAATTAACTTAAAAGTATTCACTAATGGTAAGAAACATTGAGAATTAATTGCCATCAACACCTTTGATGAGATATTGTATTATATGGATCTACTTCGCTAACAACTTAAGGACCTGACACATGTGTACAACCTATTTAACGAGCATCTAATTTAATATCTAATATATATGAACGTGCTTGAATTGTAAAACACTTCTTTGATTTATTTTGTTATTTTCTTATTACTTATTGAGCAAAGAGGTGAGTTCAAGTCTCTAGGATGAAAATGCATCAAACTAGACAGGTCACTGTACATGTATATTTTTTAAATAACTTTTAAAATTGTTAGTTATTATTATTATAATATATATATATATATATATATATATAGACACACACAATATTATTATTTCATATTTTTATATATATTTTTTCTTTCATAAAGTGTCCTAAGCAAATAAATAGTGATATATGTTGATATTATTAGTGTCTCTTCATTAGAAATAATTTGCATCATGGACAAACTATGATACTAATTAACCTAAGGAGTCTATATCCAAACTTAATAATTTTGTTTTACTTAAATTCTCTCACATTCTCCATTTGACTTGACTTTGTGTATTTGTAATGTGTTTAGTATTTTTCAGTTTTGATTTCCAACCTTTCCTAATAATAGAATTCAACAAGTTCAGATGGAGTGTTATGCATATCTCTACCAAAAATTTTTGAAGGACAAACTAAGAAACAATATGAGTACAATGTATATCCTTAAACACATTTGCAATGTATAGACTATTTTTTATTATTCATTGTGGTTCATCAATGTAATTATATTAATTTTCTCCTCTTTTTGTATTATTCTAGAATTTTTGGATATTGAATTGTTCCTAGTTTAATTTAATTATTGATTGTCATATATAACTTGGTTTATCAGGTTTATTTGGGATACTAAAATGTTTCCAACTGTATTTAATAATTTCAAATTTTTAAAATTAAAATTATTAAATAAACTACCAAATTTTTTCATAACTCTAGAGAATGGTTATTTTTAACTACTCTCAGAAGTGTATTTTGGAGAGATGTTTCATGTGGAACTGTTATAAAAAATATAAAGTTTTGAGAGCTGTTAGGCTGAATCGCTTTTTAAACTAGACTTCTGAGAGTCGTTTCACATAAAACTTTTATCCAAACTACACTTCCAAAATTTAACACACTTATATAACTTGAGATATTAGAATAGTTCAAAGTGTTATCTAAATAGAGGCAGAATTAATCTTTCATCTCTTTTCTGGCATAGTATTTATTGTCAATGCATTCCAATTAAATTTTTAAATCAATTAATAATTGTTATAGGGCTTATTTGAAAGAACTTACAAACAACTCTTCAAATAATTTTTGAACAAGTATATGATACTTATTGTTGGGGACCAAACATTATATTAGGAGAAAAATTAGAATTGATAAAAATAGAACATTTAATAATCCAAAAATAAAATTCAAATAGAAAAAGGAAAGGTAAAAAAGAGAGTAGGAATCAACCCAGGCAATAAACTCCCACGACATTAATGTTATGGAACTATAAAATCCAAGAAAAACTAAGGAAGCTTCCATGACAAGTTGATGAGCAACAAAACAAAGCTTTAGACCACCATACAAGGACTAAAATAGATAGTAGGTATCTGTGGTTATGAATGACACAATGCAGGTCCTACAAAGATGTGATGTCTAGAGACTACTTTTTCACCATGAAGACATGACACATCACCCTCTAGTTCTGCATTGATAAAGTCTAAAAACAAGAAAATGAAATGTCATATTGTAAAAATGTCACATCCTAAAATAGAAAAAGAAACACTAAGAAAAATGAAGGAACAAAGATGGCTAGTTGAAATGTTACCCTACCTAAATGATTTGTAAACTACTTAGAGAGCAAGTTAAGGTATAAATAAAAGCGAGAATGAAAAAAGAATGAATCATCCTTTCTTAAAAAAAATTAGTAGCATTTTGAAAAAGCTCAACCTACGTAAAAATAATGTTTCAAAACACTTATTTTAATAACTTTTTTGGTATATTAAAATAATTTATTTTTATTTTATCAAAATAAATTTTATTATTAAATTTATGACCTAAGTTATTATTTTAAAAATTAAATAAATAATTATCAAAATTAATTCATAATAAGAAATTATATTTGCTCTTTCGTGATATTAATTAAGAACTAAATTAATCTAACCGATACTGTCAACTTAATCGATATTTATTTATAATATTAGAGATTAAATTAACTAATTATACTAGTCTTTAAGAACTACATTAATATTTTATTTTAATATATAGTTTGTTTTTCTCTTCCCTCCATTATTTCTGAATCTACCCGTGAATAGAGGCAATCCTAATGCTTGATTTTTTTTTTATGTTTTATTTTTTACTTTTATTAGTGTATGATTCTATTTCCTTAATTTGCAGTGACGGAAATATATTTGGCAGACTAGTGGCTGCTTCGGTGTGCCATAATCGAATTATATTCAGTTTAATTTATAGTTTTTTAATCTTAAAAATATTTTTGATTAAATTTTTTAAAATATGATATATATAAATTAATTTTAACATATAAATAAATTATATTTGTTACAATTTCTTATATTTTATAAATACTTTGGAAAGTTTAAACTAATTTTAGTAACTTGAATAATATAAAAATTATGATAGTCACGTTTATAAAAAAAAAGAAAAAATTAGTATCGAATAATATTAGGATTTAGCACGAGGTCTGATCTAATAGTTAGGAAGAGTATAATGTTAGAATAATTTTTTTTAGTTATATGACTTTTGGTTTGTTAAGATGAAGCATGATCTGGGAAACTCTATCCTTTTGAAACTCAGTAAATATTGAGTAGCTTCCAACCTCATTTTGCTACCAAACTTATATCATATGTGCCAAATTAAATTTATAGCTTAAATTTGAAACCTAAATCAGCCCAACTCAACCTAAGCCTCCACGTGCACATTTTTCACTTAGAAACTTTTTTATTTTGCAAATAGGGGCAATAATATCTTTTGAAAAGATATCATTTGATGCAATAAATTTTATTACATATAAGATGCTTAACCTGATATCTATAAATTTTAAAAAATATTTTATTTTTGTAATTAACAATTATTATTTTTTAATGTTTTAAAGATGAGAGGATATTAATATTTTTTTTAATTAAACTACTAATTTTAATATTTATTAATATAAAATCAACAATCAATTATTTCAGGTGTAAGAAAAGGTACTAAACTTTTTTAATTATAAGAAATAATATAAATTTTATCTAAATATAATCAATTAACGAATGAATTATTTTTATTTTAAAATGTAAAGATCATATTCATTTAAGAGTTAAGGTCAACATTTATGAACAAGATAATTATAGAGAAGCGTAAAATCATTTTATTATAATATTTTTTGACTAAATTAATAATAAAGTATATTTTCTAAAATTGATAAATTAATTTGATTGTGCCGATAATTATATTCATAGTTTCGTTCAGGTTTTATATATTAGTTAAGATTTTTATAAATAACAAATAGTAATCGATAATAAATGAAGAAAAAGACGCAGAGTATTTGAGTTTTGAATAAGGAAAATAAATTTAATAAAATCACTTGACATGAGACTTAAAGTTTAAAATATTTCGTTATATATATATAATTTAAATAAATAATTAGTAGAAAATGCATGCAAGCTCAAGTTTATCATGATTTAACATTAAAAAAAAGTTCAATTTAGAAGCTTGAATTACATGAACCAAATGATATTTTTTAAAAGATAATTTACAGATAATCATATATGAGCTAGTTTATGGAGCAAATAAATTGTATTATACTTAACTATCTCTCCTTATCAGTTTGCTTAATTTCTATCAAGTTTAATACATATAGGAGGTGCTTAAAAGATTTTAAAAAAAGTTTATATGAATAATTTATAATTATTATAATATTTTTAATGAAGTTTTTTATTTATTTTTATAATAAATTCTTTTCAATTTATTTTAAAATAATTAGGGTCAAATTTATATGATAAACTCTCACATAAAATTAATTTATTAAATAATATTTAATTAAGTTATATTCTTAAATACATTCTTATTCCAAAAACTAAATTCATTGAGTTAATTATCGAGTCAAATTTCAAACTAATTTCAGGTTAATCGAAGTTTTGAACCCTTAGTACAAAGTGCCTTGATAGTTGGGATGAAAGACAAAATTTTAATATAAAAAGTTTAAAACATGAATAGAGATTAGATTTAACGAATAAATAACTATTAACTAAAAAATTGAAAAAATTAATAATTCAAAATAACAAAGGTTGATAACAAAGGTTAATGACTAAATGTCCATACATTTAAAAATAAAAATAGAGATAAATTAAAAAATGAATTAAATAAATGTTAAATGCAATAAATTATATGGTAAACGTCCATACATTATCACGGGGACATGAAGTTTTTAAAGTGATTTTTTTTCCAAAAGAAGAAAAATCACAAGCAAGTTACAATAAACTAATGTTTAACGACTGTTTCCTTCGTATGAATCAACAAAAGGGAAAAAAGAGGAGTAATTTTAGGCAATGCATTGAAGAAAGGGAGCATACAGAGAAGTCAAAGCAAGCACGTAAAAGAAAACAAGATAAAAATAAAACAAGGTAAAGAGAAAGTGCTTTCATTTTCATTCATTCATTCATTCATATATTTGTGATCTGCATCATCATTTTCCCTTTGTTATGCTTCAGACAACAATCACATACATTCCTAAGTACCACCTTCAACCTTCGATTTTGTTTTTGTTTTTCACACAGTGAGTGAGCTGCCACGTCAGCATCACAGCTTCACCACCAAATCCCAAAGCAAAGTTTTCATTTTTCTTCAAATCATTTATCCCATTGCTTTAAGATTCTGCTCCGATCGTTGGCTTTTGTTTCTTTGTAGAGAGAGAGAGAGAGAGAGAGAGAGAGAGATGGGGAATTCATTTGGGTGCTCGGCTTCCGGCGAGAGGTTGGTGTCGGCGGCGAGGGATGGCGATTTGGTGGAGGCGAAGATGCTTCTGCAATTCAACCCTTGTCTTGCTAAGTACTCTACCTTCGGTGGCCTCAATTCTCCTCTTCATTTTGCAGCTTCCAAGGGCCATAACGAGGTTTCTCTCACACCCCTTTTTCGTTTTTCTCATTTTAATCTTGTAAAGTTTCTGTCTGTACCATTTTCATCAACCCCTTTTGATTCTCAATTTTTTGTTTTTAATATTTTATCTGGGTTTTCGTTAGATTGTGGCATTGTTGCTTGAAAATGGAGCTGATGTGAATTTGAGAAATTATTGTGGGCAGGTACGGTTTTTTTTTTTTGTGTTATTTATGTGTTTAATAATGTGGCTGATTGATTTTAGGATTGGATTTAAGTATTGTTAGTATTGGTTTTGCTTTGATGAATTTGCATGATATGGTTGCAAATGGTGTGAGGAATTTAAATGTTGGAAGGTTCTGTTCTGTGTTAGGAATTGAAAAATGGATTTTTCCCATTTTTGTCATGCTACCTAATTTTTTAGTATGATTGTGTTCTATGTAGCTGGCATAGCTAGTGTGTGCATTAAGGTTATTCACAGATCGGGTGGATCTGGTGCCTATTTGATAGATGCCAGCATGATAATTTTAGCTTGACAAAATTTTCTTTGGAATTTGGATGTATCACACTTTCCTTTTTGATGCATGTGTACGATGCACTGACTCAGAATATGGTTTACTGAATGTGAATTTTGGTTTATTTTGATTCTTGATTTGAAGACTGCTTTGATGCAAGCTTGTAGATATGGTCATTGGGAAGTTGTACAAACCCTTCTGCTCTTCAGATGCAATGTGAGTGCTACGTTTTTATTAATCTAGTTCATAGCTTTGTTTCATGTGTTCCCTGGAGGAATTTGACCGCTTCACTCTTCTCTATCTCTCTCTCTCTGTTATATGATCTGAACTCTCTTTCTTCATTTCTTATCATTTACTGTCCTACAAAGACGATAGGTCAAAGTTCTGGGTGGGAACTGAATTGTTTCTGTTCAAATGTATTTTCATATTTATGTTACACGGTTAAAGTTTCATTTTCAGAATAACTAGACTACAGTAAACTCAATAACAGGTTATGAAAGCAGATTATCTCAGTGGGAGGACAGCTCTTCACTTTGCAGCTGCCAATGGGCATGCAAGATGCATTAGACTTGTTGTGGCTGACTTTATTCCAAGTGCTCCTTATGAAGCTTTACCTGCTAGTATGGATGCTGAGGGTACTGGATCAAATACGAAAAGCAAACATGGACAAAGGTTTGCCTTTCCTTTTCTTTATGTAATTCTTAGAACAATAGATTATTGTGGTGAATATTTTATATATTGTAATTTATTTTGCGCTGAAAGGGTTGAATTATTAATATGCTTCACCATTTTTACTTGCTTACATTAAAACATTATTTTTATTGATTATCTCATATATTTATAATTTTATTATTTCATATACTGTATTTGTTTTCTACATCCTGTGAAAGAACAAAATTGAACATTATTATCAAATCTCATAAAATACATAGAATACAGAAATTTGTGCTGTCCCCGAATCATAGATTCCTAAAGTGATGAGTTCTCTGTCCAAATTACAAGAAGACAACACACGTATCTTTCTATTCAAACTGTCCACATGACAGTTACTATTGGACATATTTTAATATGCAACTGCTGATGACAGTTATTATTACACTCATTTCAATAAAGCAGTGCTATATAGTATGAATAAGTCTTCTTGAAATTTTGATGAATACAAGCATCGTTATTGATTTTCAAGGAATTAAAATAAAATTAAAAAGAAAATGTAATAATTTAGTTTTAAAACTGCCATGTTAACGTGTTCATATAGTTTTGACAAAACTTATTTTCGTACTATTCATCATTATTCATTCTGATAATAAATCAGTGCTCCTACTTTATGCCAATAACTGTGATAACTGGCTCTGTGATATTAAAAATGTTGAGGCAGAACTATGTACTACGGAGTTGCAATTTCTGTATGTTATATTCTTGGTATTTATTTACTTTATTCCAGTGCAGTGGGCTGTCCAAGTTTGTAAACAAGACAGCTGATGCTGGTATTACTGCCCTTCACTTGGCTGCATTAGATGGGTATTTTGATTGTGTACAACTGCTACTTGATCTTAATGCAAATGTGTCAGCTGCGACATTTCATTATGGAACTTCAACGGATTTGATAGGTGAATCTTTTGTTCAATATGCTGATAACTATATGGTTGTTTTCTCTCCTGCTTGAAAGTAACTGATTTGGGTTGATATAGGGGCTGGAAGTACTCCGTTGCATTATGCTGCTTGTGGAGGCAATTTAAAATGCTGTCAGGCAAGAATTTGTGTGACTATAATGTGTGATATTTGATGTGGACTTTTCCTTTGAAACTGTCAATGATACTCTTATGTTTTCAGATCCTCCTTGCAAGAGGTGCCAGTCGAATGACTTTGAATTGCAATGGGTAAGATATGGTAAATGGAAATTTTATTCCCATCTTTTGCATGCTTTACAAGATAAATTATATGAATTTGAATTTTTTCCTCCCAGGTTGCTTCCACTTGATGTTGCTAGGATGTGGGGGCGTCATTGGCTTGAACCACTGCTGGCACCCAGTTCTGATGCCATAATATCGACATTCCCATCTTCAAATTATTTGTCCTTGCCATTGATGAGTGTGCTTAACATAGCCAGGTATTTTTGCAATCAACATATTCTAGATAATGAAAATGATTAACAGAAAGAACAGCTGTGGAAATATTCTGGCAAAATATTGTGGACCGTAATAGCATGACAACAAACAACAACAATAATCAAGTCTTACTGCATTAGTTAAGGTTGGCTACATAGATCACACGATGCCATTGAGTTTAGTTAAAAACTAAAATTTCAAAAATTTGGTTAATCAAAATATTGTGGACCTTAATAGCATTAAAGGGAACCAAAAAATGAATTTTGGGAAGATGTGTATATGGTCCTTGCAGAGGGAAAGGAATTAAGAGGAATAAAAAATATAACTATGTCTGAACTTGTAAGATGTTGGGTCTAAGCCAAATGGACCCCCATTAAAGACATATCAAAGGAGGGGTAAAAAGGGAAAGTTGAGCAAGGAGGCCGTTAGACCAGATTCTAATAGTCTAACAAATTAGCATACGTGGAAGAAAAGTGGGAGGAGAGAGGCAGCTGAGGAGAGGGGATATATGGAGGCTGGACAGAGGGCAGAGGAGAGGATTATCAAGGAGGTTATTCAGGGTGGCTGCTGCCATAGGAGGAATCTCATTCTTTAGCAACTAGTTTCCTTTCTGCTATCTATTTCTATTTGTACTACCAGGGTTATTCCCTGCGTTTGTTCTTTAAATTCTATAGTACAATCAGTTCCTATCATAAGACCTCAGTGTGCAAACTAATTTTTTGTCCTAACAAAGAAAATAATGGCTTATATACTACAAGAAAGACTCATAGAAGTCAATTCCGGATAGCAGCTTGGAGCGGCTGACTTCAAAAACGCTATAGCGGCTTTTACATTAGAGGCTGCGGCCAAAGTCAATTTCTCTGTGGGTACTGGGTCCTACCACTTGTATTGGTTGGAATGAAACACAACAATCTTTCCTATTTTGTTTCTGAAGGGCATGTAATAATACTAAAGGAAGTGAAGTTATGAATCCCTTTAATGAGAAGGAGAGAGAGAAAATTACACTTTCCTGTTGTACCGAACTAGAATTAAAGGTTAAAATATTTCTCTGTTGTTTTCTCCTGATGAAAATGGAATTAAGAGATTCATTTGAATTACTGCAGAGAGTGTGGATTGCAATCAACTACAACCTCCTCTAATGAAATTGATGTTTGTGCTGTCTGCCTTGAGAGACCATGTTCAGTGGCTGCAGAAGGTACTGGATTCTATCTTTTGAATATCTGTTTAAATTATGATGTCTGCTTGTCTTCATGAGGATATTTGATGAACTGCACAGTTCTTTCTAAAGTAATGAAGGAAATCATAATGGCATTTCCTATGCCATGGAATTTGAGTCAGATTTATCATTTCATTAGTTATAATTTATAATCCAATGTTTTCTTTCTCTCAATGTGGAGAGGGTGGGGGCAAAGTTTTGCTCTATTCTTATCGTTTTGATACTACATTTGCAACTTTTTCCTTCAAACATTTAAGTTTATGATATTAGAAAATGGAACCATGTGCTAAAAGGCTTGCACAAAATGCTTGAATATAACTGATCTCAAATGCAGGATGTAAGCATGAGCTATGTGTAAGATGCGCGCTCTATCTTTGCTCAACAAGCAATGTTTCCTCAGAAATGCTTGGCCCTCCTGGCTCTATCCCTTGCCCCCTTTGCAGACATGGAATTGTCTCTTTCATCAAATTACCGGGTTCCCGAGCAAAAGAAAATAAATTACCTGTCACTCTCAGCCTCTGTACCCCGTGCATGCTACATCCACGTTACCTAGATCGACCACCCATTTCTCGTGCATCAGAAATTAGAAGAAACCGTGTGGCTTCTGTTCCTTCAGAGATGCTTTGTCCTGTCACTTGTACTCCATTTCCATCCGTTGCACTTCCTCTATGTACATGCAATGATGGTCCTTGTCCATCATTTGAACCACAGGAAGCAGAAACACAAGATGAATCACCTCGTCACTCCCAAGCATCGACCATGGATCAGGATAAAACAGAAGGTCCAAGACCGGAGAAAACAACATGTTCAAGCATGTTTTGGGGTAGAAGAAGTTGCAGCAGAGAGCATCAATGCAATTCAGAAATAAATGCTTGATTCAATAGATGGTATTATGGCCGTTCTTATTTTGTGGATGCTTAATACTATTCTATATCAACAAAACAGTCCATAGTTGTGTCTAAACCAGCCTCCAGTAGTGAAATCCAGTGGATCTTTATCAACAAGAAAGAATTGTTTTGCTGCACAGGCTGCATATGAGGTGATAGATAATTTTTTATTTATTTTTATTTTTATTTTTTTTACATTTCTGCATTCCACCATCATCATAGTTCCTAGTTATGATGATATTTAGAAAGGGTTAGTAAAATTAGTTATGAACAGGTTGTTCTTTGTAATAGATTGCAATTGGATATCATTTTTATCATAGAGAAGGTGTTTTTTTCAACAGGGATAAAAAGGAAGAAGCATATACCTTATTGTTTTTGTAGATAGGAGGTTGTGTATAGTAGATTATGTTTGTAATGAATTTTATAGATTTATGAAGAACAACTTTGAGAACGGAAAAAGCTTGTTTATACATTTGTATTGCCCTTTTTGTGAACTCCAGGGTGTCTTTCGTATCAACACTAATGTTGAAATATTTGTTCACCAAGGCATGCTTGCTGCATTAAGAGCACTTTCATGAGAATTAGTGTTAAGACCAAGGTAATTTAGGTCACTTTCTTCCCAGTAAGTTGTGCTTTTATCCTGAGTTATAAATGTGTTAGAATAATGTTATTAATACTATAATATTAGTATGAAATTATTACTTTTACCCCCCCCCCCCTCTCTTTTTATCCCTCTTTACCACATCCATCACCTTTTTATTTTTGTCTATCTCTCTTCTTTGTATAGAAATTATTATGAAAATTTATTTATTGAATGATTTTGTTAATCTCAGCTGAGTTTAAATAATCAATAATATAAAAAATATTTAAATTCTTTTATAATTAACACATTCTTTTTTAATAATATTCTTTTATCTTTAAATTCTGTTGTCGTAACAATTGAAATTAATAAAATTGATTATACAAATATATTTTTGCTATGAAAAAATGGGGTGTGTTTTTTGTTATTCTTTAACTTTTATTGTCACTATTATTGTTTAAGTAATTTTGGTTTAAAATGTTTCTATAATCATATTAATAATAAAAACATTTCACATAAATTTTTTAAATAAAAGTGAGAAGAGACACAAATATTGTTGCGAAAATGGTATGGCTACTACCCTACATATTATTGTTATCATTATTAATAATGGCCCCACAAAAATAATATTCGAAGTCAAATATGAGATAGAAAAATGATAGAAGAGAATATCTCTGGGATTGGAAAAGTGCTTTGCTCTTAGCAATCACATCCAACTAATCTCATGTTGCCACGTTTGAGGTCTGCATCCATAGAGAATGAGACACCCAGCTTTTCTTTTTAAGGGCAATTATTATTCTGTTTGCTACATTGTGTGCCTTGTCTCTTACTAAACTATTGTTTCTTCCATAGTTTAGTTTTACACAACTATAGTGAATCCATGGAAGCGTGGGACGCCACCAAATAATTGAGCAATGATATTTATGCTTCATTTTCTAGTTATGTTATATACCCAATTCATGGTCATGAACTAATCCAAGAAGAATTTTAGTATTTTATACTATAATGACTAAGATATTTTTTTTTTACAAAAACAACTATTTTTTAAACAAATAGCGTCATACAGTTGCTGATAACACATTATCAGTGAATCCCAATTAATTAGTTAAAAATGTAATTTTAAAATAGTGTTACGAGTGATTATAATATTTTTACTAAGTGGGTATTTGAGTTTATATTGAAATAATTAAAAATTTATATTTATTTTAACGTTGTTAATCTAGTATTTATATAATATTCACATTATAATTTTTTTGACGTGTATAAATTATTTCATATTTCTCAAATGCAGCAACATGACTTTAATTTCTCGATATGCTGCTGATATTATAGCTCTTAATTCTCTTCTGTTAATTCAAAAGAAAAATTAATGCTTGATGGGTACCATCTTTTGTCATCCTTTTTGTATTTAAGAATATATTTTGGCTCCTTTCTTTATACATTGGGTCAAGGTTTTCTAATATATATATATATATATATATTAGAAAACCCTGACTCTATATATATATTTCATTACAAGAAAGTCATCCTTAAATTATAATCCAAAACTACCTAACATTATTGTTATCTGCAACAAAAATGAACTACTGGTTAGTCAAGTTTTTGTAACCGACATGTAAAAGCCAAGGGGTATGTGAAGGACTGCTGCTGTTGCTCGTGATGCTTGGATACATTTAATGAAACTTTAAATATCGTAGATATGCATGCACCATAGATACTCGTTTAAAAGATGAAAAATTAAAATGGCAGAGCCAGACCACAGAAAATGTTAGAAAGTAACAGTTTTCATAACTTGTTCTCCTTCTGCACATTATATCATTCTACATATCATTGCACTCCAGGTACCTACTAGAAAGCCACACAACTGTGGTATAGCCATGTCCTTTTTCCTATCACAAATCATAAATAATCCTTAAAAGAAACATAACACAGTTTGGTCCCTAAGTTCTCAAAACCTATAGTATCTAAGTACAATAAGAATATGCACCTTTTATTAAACACCACCTACCTCACAGGACCATGCCAAACCCTAAAGAAAACCAAAGCAAACAAATCTCATTAAGATGATTGAGGATGAGACAAGTTAATTTTATTTACTGCAACCCTTTTTTCTTCTCGAGGAATTAATCACCTTCTTCTTGCAGCAGTTTCTCTTTGAGCATTGAAGTAAACTGCAGCAACAGGTAGGCCAAGGCCATTCTCCTCTGAGAACCTCCTTGTGTTGAAATAGTCTCTAGAAACTGGGGGTCTCACTGTTTGTCTTCCTCTCTGCTTGAACAAGATGAATACGTATCTGTGGATTCCTATTACTGGCTTTGGACTCTCATACCCCACAATCTCTTTTCCTGTATCAAAGTTAGATTCTTAAATAAAAATGACCATTTTTACAAGCATCTTTAAAAATGATATTTTTTTAAGAAAATAGTAATTAAAAAGTAGTAAATTTTTATTAAAAATAGAAACGTTTATTAAAGTTGAAGTTAACGAAACTTTTTTTTTATGTGTAAAACTTTATGACATGTAAAGATAAAAGTATATCTGAGAATAAGCATTATCCATAGATTCATAGATATAAAAACAAGAATCAACATTGTGGGGGTAAGAGTGGGACTAACCAAAAGAGACATCTGTGGTACCAGGGATATCTGTAACCATCCTGGCAAATTGGCACCAAGTTGATGAGGGAATTGATGGTAACAAAAAATACAAGACATTAGAAATAGAGTTTTCATTCTGTACTAACCAGTGAAGATGTTCCCTTAAATATGGATCACTAGGACTTGGAGCATCTGGGTCTGTCATGATCTGAAAGTTGCATTTGGTATGTGGGGAGAGAGGATATATACCAAGTGTTAGTACTAAATAGAGACATAGATATTCAAATATATATAGGGAGCAATGAGTGACATAATTTACCAAAGTATAAGCAGTCCTCATGTCGTCACCACCAATCTCAACGCGTGGCTTGGTCACAATGGTAGAAGGCATTAACTCATGACCATTTGCAACTTGCTTAGTGGAATATGTGACATCCATTCTCACACTTGGGTTGAAAATGTCTACCACCTCTCCTATCACTCTTCCCACAACAAGTGGTTCCATGAGCCTAGACATTCAATGATATTGCAAAGAGTAGGTGTGTGAGGAAAATATGTTCTAAGACTTGGTATATGTGGGTATATGGGAAGTGAGATTTTGAAGGCATTTATAGGCGCCAAAAGGATTTGGCTTGGCTTAGAAGCATAAAGAAAGATTCTAGAGGCTTGTCTATTTTGGGTAAGGACATCTGTTTTAAGTATGCAATTTGGGTTCTTCAAATTTGTTAAGGGAACACGCTAGAGAGAATGATCGATCATATGCTACATTTATTTATCTTAATTGATGATTCTGAAAAGCTTGGGCTATATATATCAATTTTTATGTCTGATTAATGGCAGAATCTGCAATATGTCCTTGGCCTATTGGCCAAAGGAGAATGAAGAATATGTACTGTTTGTCCCACTACAATATAATATCTTTGGCGAATGAGAATTCAACTTTTTGATAAGGTGCTGAATTTCATGCACATGATTTCTCATTTCAATGAAAAAGAAATCTTATCAGGTTCAGGATTTGCATTTAAAAATATTAACCCAGAAATTAAATCTAGTTGATCATTAATTTGTGTAGAAATGTAGAACTAATTAATTTAAAACCAAGATCACCTTTTTCAGTTAAGACCCACTTCCTGGCTGGTTATTTTATTTTATTTTTTTGTTCCTTTCAATTTTTAAAGTATTTTTGAGATACATATAAAAACTAAAAATTAAATAAGAATTTAAGCTAAGTATACACAGAGTCAAGTACAATGTTCAGAATTTGATGATCACGTAATGGTACACTTTTCTATCTCAGTTAACTTACCTTTTTCTCCAAAATTCAAAAAAGAAAGAAATACAAAAGAAAAAGAAATCATGAGAGGCTCAAAATCCCCTCGCAAATTACATTCCACATACAATGAAGTGAACATCATTGGCTTGTTAGCCAGCCACGCAATACTTGACCTAAGACTTCTAGATTATCAGAACTAATATTATATTATTTTTATTAATTAGTGTCTTTAAAGTATTAATAAAAAATTAAAAATGATTTTTTCATTAAAAATAATGCTATGATACATAAAAACGTATAAGAAAAGTTACTTTAATAAATTTTTTATTTTAAATTTCTGAATCAGTATTGAGAGCCTTATTTATTTGCCATATAAGAGAATGAGCTTTTAGAAAGTGTTTTGCATAGCATGCAAAGTACTATTGCAGGTGACAAAAGCCCGCGCACATATTTGTCAGTTTATTAATTAAAGTACATGCTTATTTTGGCACCAAAATCACGTTTGTAGATAACATAATCAATTTTGGGTTTATAACTTGTTTCCATTTTCAAAATCAATCGTGTCACGCAAGTAAAATTAATTTAGAGAAAAGTTAAACATGTTTAGTGTTTTTGTTAAAAATAAGTGACTGTAAATTTAGGATTTGATGTTGCCATGCATCATAATTCGTGTTTGTTTGTACCACTGTTGTTCGATGTAAATTGTATCTAAACATGTTATTAATCAGCTAACAAAATGAATTCTTCTCAATTTAAAAAAAATATTATTTTCAATCACAAATAAATTATTTCAAAATTAAATTTTTAAAATGTCAAATTTTTTTAACATCAATTTTACCTAAATTTATAATAAATGAATCCTATCTCTGTCGACTCTCTCACACAAATATTAAAAAGATCTTGTTAAAGACACTAACTAAAAAATTAATTTAAATAATACATTTAACTGCATTAAAAATTATGAAAGAAATTTATTAATTATATTTTCTTTCTTGAGAAAACCTTAACCTGTGCCCTAATATATTTGTCGTTTTAAACATAATTTATTTCCAATGAAATTTAAATTTAAGATGTTCACAACATAAAATACTTAACCCTAGTTATCCAATAGGCAAAGCTTGGGCATCTAGTCAATAAATCAAACTATGTCATAGTAATTGGTTGATTGAGATGTTTAAATGCTTAAGTAGAATCAATTTCTCCCAGATTCATATATAACAGGTGGCCGGTTCAGCTTAAAAGAATTGGTAAGATTCAATCAAAAAAACTGTTGAAACTTTTTCAACAAAACTATTTTCTTACTTTTATGTATGTTACAAACTCTGAATAGCTGGAGCAAACAATTTTAATATGATAATTAATTTAATTCATGCAGTATGTAAAGGAAACTAACGAGTATTTTATATATTGTATGCATATTTTTAATTTAAATACAATTTTTAAAACTAGAAAGAATTTATTTAAAAGTATAATTAACTAAGATTTGTGATAAAAAGGTTAATATAATTTTAAAAAAATGATATTGGAAAATTTTAATGAAAACTTAAAAAGTTATTCGATATATATGTGAATTAACGTTAAATAATGATAAAATCACATATCAGAAAAGCTTGCTTTCATATATAAAAATGATTTGTCATATTTATATTATAAGAATTGCTTCTAAACTTAACACGTTGGATAGTTTAGCAACGTGTTAAACCTTGGATTCCTTAGAGTTGTAAAAATATAGGATTTGAAAAGAAATATTAGTTAAATATGACTCATTTGACTAGTCATACAGAGAGCACTGTCCATTGTTGATAATTGATAAATGAAAAAAATAAAAAGAGAAAAGATGGTGGTAAAGATTGATGAGAGCCGTGTAAGAATATTATCATGCAAAAAATATACAATTTTATTTCCATAATCAGAGATGCTGTTTCTGCGAATATTGCTAGTCAGAAAAAAAAGTCAAAAACTTTATCACAAATATTATTGAGTTACGTGTATAACAAAATTCTTATTCTCTTCTCCACTTCTTCGAAACCACATAGAAGAACACGCAAAAGACAAGAAACGAATAAGCACAAAAATGAACAGAAAGAAAAAAAATTCATTGATCACTACTAATAATTTATTATATATTTTTTCAGCTTTATAGTTTCCTAGTAATAATTTTTCAATACATTGTTCTGTTTGTTTCCCAAAGACACATGAAATGAACCTATCACCACCTCAAATGGGATATCTATTATTCTGTCTCAGTAAGTAAACACGAAGAACAAGCCATTATTAGTGTACACAATACCATACCATACAAGTGTCCAATGCCCCTCTTTTCTAGTTTTTAAAATTTTGGCCAATTATTATCAAAAGTGCTCAACAATGTGCCCATGTTTATTCCATTACTTTCATCCATCACATCTTTTTTTTTTTATTATTTTTGTAATCTTTCACTTGAAACTTTCTTTTTTTTTTTTGTCTGCTACTGCCCACCCCTTAACAAAATTGTTTATCGCTTTTGTCTTATTTGATATGTAGGACCTTGAAATAATATTAAAGATAGTTTTCAGTTTAAATTATTTTTTGAATTTTCTTATAAAGTGATCGAAAGCATTCATAATATATCATTGAGATATTGATATGTTTTAAAATTACATTCTTGTACAATTTTTTTTTTTTTTTGTTCTTATTTTTCCTTTGAATTTTGTCCATAAAAATCCACAGAACTCTTTATCATAGCTATGCAATGTACATTTAAAAAAAATTCATACAGAAAAAACTGCATGTAATTTCTTGCAGATTCTTTTTGTTACAATTTCTTGTAGTTTTGAAAAAATTCACAAGAAATGAATTAGCTACAAAAATTCACATCAAGTGTACATTTTCTGTGATTTTTATGTCAAAATTTATAGGAAAATTCAAGGAAAATGAGCATTTTTTCAATAGTGCAACGAACAATTAATTTAGGCATATTTTTTATGTTATCATGGCTACGTAAAATATTTTAGGTTTAGTTAAGCTTAGTTAAGGATAAAATTTTATTAGAAAGAAAAATATTTAATATATTTTTATAATTTTTATATAATAATTATATATTTTTTCATAAATTTTTTTTATTTAATTGTTTAAATTCAGTCTTAAAGTTGAAGTTAACAAAACTCAAATATTTTATAGTTATTTAGATTAAAAAATATTTATTTCGTGGTGCAAATGTATTTATTGGTGAATTACCTTAATAAGTGTTTGACATTCCACCTGGTGGGTAGCGATGCAAAATAGGCAATCCAAGTTGATTCGAAATAAAATGCAGATTTTGAAATTTAAACTTTTAAGTTAAATTAAATTTGAGCTTTTTTTGTAATTTGATCCAATTATGATGCACACTAAATATATATAAATTTATTAAAAAAATTAGATTTTACTTGTTTAGTAAACTTTTTTCAAGCTTGAATCACATCCAGAGCTAGCTAACTAGACCCATTTAAGCTGACAAACCTTAGTATTGACATTTGTTAGGGAAAAAATATTTTATTTACGCCTCTCTTTATTGTAAATATATTCAGCAACTTGGAATTTGGATTCACCACGATTAAAAAATATGTAATTGGTGCAATTAAAGAACTTGTATAGATCAATCGTCATCCAATGGTTTGTATTAAATTATGTTTTATTTGTATAAATACAAAAAAAATTAATTAAGTATTTCATTTTTATAAAAATTATATAATTTTGCTTTAATCTTTACTATTATTTTTAGTCTATATAATTGACATATTTCATTAATTTTAGTTAAACCATATTAAAATTTAAAATAATAATTCATAAAAAATAATTATTATATTCTAATAAAATATTTTATAAAAATAATAAATTACAAATTTTTATAGGCATGAAATACTTAATTAAAGGACATAACATTTGAATATACTAATCGTACGTGCTCTTTTTTAACAGCAGTGAATCCAGATTACAGCAACTAATGCTAGTGCACTTGGCATAGATTCAGAAGGCGATGGTGGGTCCTAATCTTTTTATTCTTTTAAAAACAAAACATATAGAACGAGCTGAGTTTCACTGTTTTTATAAAATTAAGATAAAATTAATTAATATTAAGTGTTAAGTTTTACAAAGTTATATATTTCATAGGAATTAAATTTTATTAATCTAATAATTATACAAAAAAATATATATTAAATTTAATAGGAATCAACTCTCCATACTTTGACACGTTTTTCACACGTCAGAATGCCTCCACAAAA